GTCACATCCTAATACCCTGGCCCCGGCCGCCGCTGGTTTGGGTGTAAGATAGGGAGACAAGCGGCAGGGGACTGTGCTCTGGTGAGGGATTGGGGTGGGGCGTGATCACCCCTCCTCCCCACTCCACCTGTGCACTAACGGCTCCCCCTTGGTCTCTGCTCCCTGCCTCCTGATGTGTGTACCCCCACCCCAGCATTCTACACTCTCCCGGAAGTTCGTGGAAGTAATGACCGAATATAACGCGACCCAGTCCAAGTACAGGGACCGCTGCAAGGACAGGATCCAGCGGCAGCTGGAGATCAGTGCGTGCGCCTCCCCTCCAGACTCCCCAGGCCTGCCCAAGCCTCCTTCCAGGCCCTTCCTCTCGGTGGAGGGGCGGCTGGCCTAGGGCCCCAGGGGAGGGTGGTGTCCCGGGTCCCTGCCCCCATCCCACCGCCTCAGCGCAGGCTGGCCCAGCCCCTGAGCATGGAGTCCTTCCTCCCCACAGCCGGAAGGACCACAACCAACGAAGAACTGGAAGACATGCTGGAGAGCGGGAAGTTGGCCATCTTCACTGATGATGTGAGCGCGGGCGGGGTGGGTCTGTTCTGTAAAGCAGTTGCACCTCCTCCCCAAACGTAGGTTAGACTGAAGGGCCTAAGTCCACCTGGAATAACTGGCATCGCAAGGCCTGGGTCCAGAGCTGGGGGCAGAGCAGGAAGGCACCCCCATAAAATGGCAAACAGTAGTGTGCCAGGCGCTGTTTTAAGCACTTTACACATTCACATTTACCTACTAACCTCATTCGGTCCTCACCACAGCCCTCTGAGGGAGCCACATTTCACGGGGGAGGAAATGGTGCCCAAAGAGGTTAAGTAACTAGGTGAGGTCACATAGCTGGGGGCAGAGCCAGTATTGGAATCCACGGTGGAGGTGCAGATCCGGACTCTTCGGTGCTAAGATGCAGAACGCCCTACTGACGCAGGCTCTTTCACCCAATGACTAATGTGCCTGCCTTTTGAAAATTTCTAAAAAACCCTGTTTTAGTTTTGCACACTGTCCTGCCCTTGTCATCTTGTATGTGAATGGATGGGCTTCCCCCAGCTGTAGTTCTTCTTTCTCTTTTGAATTTTACCCTGGCCTGCCAGTTCTGTCTATTTATGCTTCTGGTGGTGGAATGGCTCTACGTAAGGTTTCTAGACCAGGTTAAAGTATGTTCAGGGACTTTCTAGCATTTTGTTCCTTAGATAACTGGCCTTTGTTACATTAGCTTCGAGCAAATTGATTGTGGGCAACTAGCCTGGAGCTCTCAGACAGCTCTGCTAGGCTGTCTGTCTGTCTGTCTGAGGACCGAGGGAAGCTGGTGAGTGGTCCTAAGAAGGCAGAGCTGAGCCCTGCCAGTTAACCAGCCAATGCAGGGTGCTTGACACTTTGCTTGAGGGCTGTGCAAGATGCAGACAGGCGCTGTGGTAGTTGACGTCTACAGTCAGGGAAGGCTTCCTGGGAAGTGGCATTGAGCTGAGCCTTAAGAGACAAGGAGCATTTGGGCAAAGGACACTCTAGACCAGCGGTTCTCAACCTGTGGGTCGCAACCCCTTTGGGAGTCGAACGACCCTTTCACAGGGGTCGCCTAAGACCATCGGAAAACACATATATAATTACATATTGTTTCTGTGATTAATCACTATGCTTTAATTATGTTCAGTTTGTAACAATGAAATTAGGGGTCACCACAACATGAGGAACTGTATTAAAGGGTCGCGGCGTTAGGAAGGTTGAGAACCACTGCCCTAGACAAAGGAACAGACTGGGCAAAGACAGGGAGAGTGGACCACTTGCCAAACAGCCATTGGATGATTCTGGCTCCTGTTGGGTAGCAGGAGATGAGGGTAGAAAAGGAGCCTGGGCCTTGACTGCTAAGATAAAGGTGTGGCCCTGACTGGTTTGGCTCTGGATAGAGCGTCGGCCTGCGGACTGAAGGGTCCTGGGTTCGATTCCGGTCAAGGGCACATGCCCCGGTTTCGGGCTCGATCCCCAGTAGGAGGCGTGCAGGAGGCAGCCGATCAATGAGTCTCTCTCATCATTGATGTTCCTATCTCTCTGTCCCTCTCCCTTCCTCTCTGAAATCAATAAAAAAATATTTTTAAAAAAGATAAAGGTGTGTACCCTATGGATAGGGGAGCCCTGGCAGGTTTCAGAGCAGAGGAGTGGCTTGGTGTGGTCTGAACAGTGAATCTCTGAGAAGGGAGCGGCCGGGCTCGGGCCAGGCATCTTGGGGAGGAGTCTCTCTTCCACCGACTCTTGAAGCGCCAGTGCACCCCTTTATTGTTTCCCCCCTTCTCATGTCATAGTCTCCAGGGGACTTGTGGGCACCCTGCCTTCTCACCTGGGCCTCCTTCTCTGCTTGCTGTTCTCTCCCCACCCCCCCACCCCCACCCCTTTCTCTCTGCTGTGTCTTCTTCCATTTCTCTATCTTCCTTTGACCAGACAGGGGCCCGAATACTGGTGGGGCCTTGGACCTCTGTCTCCCTTCCCAGAGCTTCTGTGGTGTGTGTGATAGAGGCGGCCCTGGGCTAAGGTGGAGGGCTGGGGGCAAGTGTTATTTCTTGTAATTTAACAAACTTGTCTTCAGTGCTTCCTGTATGCCAGGCACTGTTCTTATCAATGTGCACATATTAACTCCTCTAATCTTCACAGCGACCACGAGGTGGGCAGTATTATTACCCACGTTTTCTAGGTGGGGAAACTGAGGCCCGGAGAGGTGAGATCATTTGCCCGGGGTTGCAGCTAGTGAATGACAGCTAGGGTTGGACCCAGTGCTCTGACTGCCGGCTCTGAGCTCTTACGGGAGTGAAGGGTGGTCTTCAGCAGCCGCCCCCCACACCATCTCCCTAGATCAAAATGGACTCCCAGATGACGAAGCAGGCGCTGAATGAGATCGAGACGAGGCACAACGAGATCATCAAACTGGAAACCAGCATCCGCGAGCTGCACGACATGTTTGTGGACATGGCCATGCTCGTGGAAAGCCAGGTACGGCCTCTGCCCTGCCACGCCACGTGGAAGCCGCCCCCCTCCCCGGTTCCCTCTTCCAGCCCAGCCCACGCCTCCCCATGCACATACCCTCTGCAGGGCGAGATGATTGACCGAATTGAATACAACGTGGAACATTCCGTGGACTACGTGGAGCGAGCTGTGTCTGACACGAAGAAAGCCGTGAGATATCAGAGCAAGGCCCGGAGGGTGAGCAGGGCGGGGAGGGCCTGTGGGCAGCTGGGCTGGAGCTGGGGGGTGGGGTGGGGCGGGGCTCTGGCCAGGGCTGAGGCAAGTGATGAAATTCCCTGAAAGGCCTTATCTCTGGCTCTGACCTCTTGGTTTTTCTGTTTTCTCTCCCCTCTTCTTTTCCCTCACACCCTCCCCCCATCTTTCTGTCTGTTTCTCTTTCTCTTAAACTGCCCCTCTCGCCGCCTCCTGTCCCATTGCCCTTTCTGCCTGCAGAAGAAAATCATGATCATCATTTGCTGTGTGGTGCTGGGGGTGGTCTTGGCGTCATCCATTGGGGGGACGCTGGGCTTGTAGGCCCACCACCCCTACCTCCCCCAGACCCTTCCCCCACCACATCGGGAGCAATACCCCCACTACCCCTTTCACTCCATCCCCTGCTCCAGGCTCACCCCCAAGACAGACCCAGGCAGCCCTCTCCTTACCCCACCCCCCCATCAGACCCTGGAGTCCCTGGACCTCACTGCACCATGGACCCTCCCCCCACATAAATAGCAGCAGGCGTGATTACACATGCACACCAACATGCATGCCGCCGGCACGTGCTCGAGACGAGTGGACACCCCAGCGTGTGTGTGTGCGTTCACAGACGTGTGTAGAAGCACCACAGCACCCTTCTCGCCCCCACCTTGTCTGTGTGTCGTCTTAGCTTTCCCCTTCGCTCGGTTGTTGTGTAGACTGTGGCCGGGATCACACAGCAGCCCACCACGCCCTGCTCTGTCTTCTGTGAATAGGTGTGTGTGTCCACAGATCTGTGGACACATAATTTGTGTACATGGGATTTTGTGTTTGAGTGTTTGAATCTAATGCAATAGCACTTCTTCCAGTGACACCCCCTCCCCCACACCTGCTATAAACGGGGCAGGCTGTGCGTGTGCAGATGGTCCTTCCCAGAGGATCCAGGTAGGCCCAAGTTCACGGGCCATGGCAGGCACCCCACCGAGATGTGGAGCACATCTTCCTGGTTTAGTCACCCCAGGCCTGGGTCCCGGGGGAGAGAGTGTGTGTGTGTGTGTGTGTGTGTGTGTGTGTTGTGAGCCTTGGAGTTGAGCCAACGTGAGTGGAAGCGTACACGTATAAATAACCTCGCTTGGCTTGTATATACATGTGCATTTCCCAGCAGGTGATGTGAGATCTGTGTGTGTCTCAGGATCTGCCTGAAGTGCTGGCAGGTCTCCCCAGACAGAGCATCCATGCTGCGCCCTGGACACGGCTGGGCGGGCACAGGACGCTGTGTGGACGGTCCGTGTGAGCGTGTGTGTGCACTGGCACCGAGGCTTGCTCCACGGTGTTTCGGTCCCGTTTGTATATGCGCACACGTTTCTCTTTAAGGTCTCGCGCCCCATCCAGGCTTGTCTATGCAGATTGATTTGCCCCTCCCTCTCTCCCCGGAGCTGCTGCCAGCATCTGGTAATGGCCACACGCTGCAACATCAACGTTGTGCAACTGGCGCGTCCTGCCCTGCCAGGTGTCAGAGCCCTGACGCAGCCAGGCGCTTCTCTTCCTCTGTGTCCCGGCCAGAGGACAGGCCCGCACCCGTGAGGGCTGGGACACGTGTGCTCATCATGCCCAGGCTCAGGAGGCCTCGTGTAGGTGACCACACCCAGGCACACAGCAGCACACGTGCATGCTACCATGGGCATGGCGCCCCTACAGGCCTGCCCCCGTTTGCACATGAATGCCTCCTGGAAGGGCCAGCGTGAGAACGTATTGATGAGGCCAGTGTGGAGAGTGACCCCAGACAGCCAGGGAATGAGCATTCCTGCCTTCCGCACACTTACCTCAGAATACGGGTCTCCCTCGCCCCATTTGATGCTCTGGGCTCCGTCTCAGGGACCTTGGTTTGGGGAGCTGTTTGTCGCAGGTGCACTGGAGTGGCCAGTGTGGCAGCAGCCACTCGGGATGGGCTAAGTCCCGGGATCCATCCCCTGGACACATTTGCTGAAATGTCTGCAATCGCTGCTCCCCAACCAGGGTGAGCTTGAGGGTGGGCACAGGCCTGGGTTTCTGATGGTGAGGAAAGGGCTAGCTCCTCCCTTGTGTAGGCGACACATGCACAGGTGGGTTCGTGCGTTTGGTGGCTGATGGGAGGCACCTGAGCACAGGATAATGTCAGAAGCCCCCGCACTCCGTGGCTGAGGAACACGGAGTGGGCATCCATGTGCACAGGGTAAAGGACTCAGGGTTGTGTGCAGATCATTCCCAGGATTCCACTTTATGTGAAGCGTGTGTGTGTGTGTGTGTGTGTGTGTGTGTGTGTGAGAGAGACAATGCAGATGTGACCTGGGACACAGTACCCTCCCCACCCCCACGCCAGCTCTTCCCTGCCTGGCTGCTTGGGCTCTGCTTGTGTGTGGCCAATACGTGTAAACCCCGAGCTGTGCTGTCCTGAAGAGGGGCGCCCGACTGCATTCCCAGAATGCCCTTCTGCAGGACAGGAAGTGGCCCTGTGTCTGCCGGCAGCCCTCCCGCTCCCTTCTCACTTCTTTGGGGACGTCAGAGAGGACCCCAGCACTTCCCCCCCCTCCCTCTTTCCTTCCGGTTGCCCGGCCAGGACACCCTTCCGCCCAGGTGTTTCCCGCACTCCCACAGCCTTGGGGCCACCAGGAGGCTGGAGCCAGGCAGCTGCCTCCTGGTGTGGTATTAGGCCCACAGCTGCCCATCCCAGTGTCAGACCAGAGGATCCCGAGGTCTGCTGTGCGCCAGCCTCCACAAGTCCCAGCCTCATGTGATGTGTTTGCGTGTTGGCTGCTGTGTCCTGTGTGTTCTGGAGTGTTGTCTGGGGGGGTGTCTTTTACGTGGTCTTGGAGGAGTGTGTGCTACCCACCCTCCACACCTACAACCATGTGTGCCCGTGGGTGGTCCCGGGCCTGGCCAGGGCTCACCGCTTCCCTTTCCCTTCCCCCTCTCGCCCTAGCTCTGCCTCTCACAAAGCACACTGCGCGTGTCCATCCCATGTGCCTGTGGGTCGATGCACGCTCATGCCACGCCTTGAGCGTGTGTACATGATGTGTTCTATGCATTCACCCTGCCCCCCAGCCCGCCCCGCAAAGGACAAGATGGTGGCCCCCGGTCCCTTCCACCCCACCTGCCCCCTGCCCGCTGTGCAGCCGTGTGCGTTGGCGTGTGTTTCCGTGTCGCTGGCGTGTCACGTGATGTAGCTGTGTTTGCTGACATGAGCCCCGCCCCCTCTGTTTCTCCTTTGGTTTCTAGAGCTCTTTCCCTCGCCTCTCCAGAGGGGACAGGACTCTTGGGGCCTGGCTGGGGGCCCAGAGCCAGGCCGCCCTCTCCTGTTCGCCCTCAGAGACCCATTTCTCTCTATTGGTGACCAAGTTGCAAATGGATAAAACACAGGAAAATTCTGCCCTCTCTCCCCAGCCCTGCATGTCCTGTCCCCAGAGCCCCCTACCCCCACCCTGGGCCGGGTTGGGCCCCGTGGAACGGGAGAAATAGCAACCAATCCAACAGCGGGCGTGCTGCGTGCTCACTTCCTTCTGTCCCCAATGGGACGGGCGCCGCGGGGAGGGGCGACACGGGGAGGCAGGCCAGGCAGCTGGGCAGGCACTGGACACGGATGTAGATAAAGGAGTTTTAATCCAGGGCATGGGCAGGTACAGAGTTTCTGGGGCACCCTCAGGCAGAGACCTCACAATATTGCAGGACCTACATTTGGGTACAGGGGTGGGAGGAAGTGAAAATACAGATTTCCTCAGCTTTCACTGAGGAGAATGAAAAGATAAACACCTTAAGGTGATAAATGTTTTACAATAATGGGGATATGACCCTCCCCGAGGGACAGAGGTGGTAGGAGGAGCCAGAAAGCCTCTTCATTCTGAGCCCAGGCCCGAGGGTCCTGCTTGGGCGGCAGGAGGCCAGCAGGAGGCCTGTGGAACTTGTACTCACTTCCTGCTTGAAAAGCCAATGGGATGGCAGTGAGAACATCAGGGAAATCACAACCCCGCCAACCAGACAGCGGGCTTGGGATGAGAGCGAAGACATCCTGCCCTAGAACTGAGAGGCAGCAGGACACGGACGCAGTGCTCATGGCTTAGCATGAGGGCTCCAGGGCAGCCGGTCTGGCTTCGGACCCGCCAGCTCTAGAGTGCAGCCTTCCCTCTCCATCGGGGCCTGGATGGATGTGTTACGCTGAGCTCCGGGCCCAGCTCCACTGTCACTGGGCCGAACTGTCCATGGCCTGCATCCAGCGAATGGTGCGGGTCCGGCTCTCCTCCCATGAGAACAGGGGCTCGTAGCCAAAATGGCGTTGAGCCTTGTTAGTGCTGACGGTGAAGGTGGTGTTGGCCATAGCCAAGGTGTATGGGTTGAGCAGGGGCGCATAGAGCAGAAGCGGCCGCAGTAGCCACTGCAGCAGGGCATTGAGGGCAGCCAGAAACATCAGTAGCCAGTAGGGCAACAGCGGGCGGGTGCCCACCAGCCGTAGTCCACAGGGGCCCAGGAACTCCATGTTGAAGTCCTCGTAGCTCTTATAGGGTGACTTGTCATAGCAGAAGTACACCTGGCCACCCATCAATGCCGGCCGCTGCTGTAGCTCCCGCGCCACCAGCACATGCATCCAGGCCACGTTGCCTGCCAGAGGGAGTGGGGAGGACATGCCCCCGAGTGTCCCCATGATCATGTAGCTGCTGCTCTCCCGGGCCAGCCCACATACAAGCCACCTCCTCTTTGGGCCCGTGTAGATGCTGCCCCCTCCTCTCCCTCAGCCTATGACTGCTGTGTCTGCCTTCCCAACTTGCAAGGATACTGTTTCCCTGTGGCCCGCCCCTCCTCGTCTACCCTAGCCCATGTACAGGCTGTTCTTTTCTCTGCAGGGTACACACGGCACCCCTCCCAGAACCGTGCAGGTTCTTAGCCTCCCCCCTGCCCGGCCCGGGCCTCACCTACATAGACCCGTCCGTGCTCCACAGAGGCTGGGATGGCCCGGAAGAGCCGGCCTCCCAGGCGCAGGCCCTGGTAATAGATGTCCCTCATGATCTGGTGGCCTTCACCATAGATGCCGGTGGGACGCAGAGCACATGTCACCAAGGGCAGCCCCCCACGGACCTGGCAACAAAAGGTAGGCACTGCTGAGACCTAGGACCCAGCGGCCTGACCTCTTCAAGCTGGAAATAGCCGGGAGGTGCCCAGCCGGCCGTGGCTCTGTAGCTCCTCATCTCACCTTCCTTCCATTGGCTTCCAGGACCAGCTGCTCAGCTCGGGCCTTGCTGGAAGGATAGGGATGTCTGTGCACTGCTTCATAGGGGGTGTCCTCATTGCCCCTAGTGGGGGAGAGAAGACTCTTAATGCTGAGGGGAGATGGGCTCTGAAAGTATCAGGGGGGAACCCCAGCTCACCTGTAGAAGGGGTGGCCTTTGATGTTGGGCCCCACAACTTCCATGCTGCTCGTGTACACCAGGAACTGTGTTCCAGTCTGCACACAAGCCTCAATCACATTCTTCGTGCCTGGGGAGGCGGGGTGTGTGTCCAAACTGAAGCTTCCTCCCTCTCTGTACCTTTCCCCTTCCCATCCCCAATCTGGATGAAGGCATATGGCTTCCTTCCCCAGGCCCAGGGAAAGCCACACAGGTTGGCGAGGGCTGGCCTTCTATTACAGGGACAGGAGTGCACACAGGACTGTTTGACGCAGGAGAATCACAGAGGTCAAGGTCAGAGCGGGGGGAGGGACACAAACAGACAATCAGGCCATGGGCCGGTATTACGTGACTAGAACGGCGGGGGGATATCTCACCCTGCACGTTGACCTCATGGATGGTCTCAGGACTGGCCCTCCCAAACACGTCCACCAGCCCGGCTGTGTGGATGACCACATGGGCTCCAGCCACAGCTGCTGCCACCTCGTGGGCCTGGGTCACATCCCCCTGGATGGCAGTCACCTGCACTGGCCCTGGTAGGGGGAGGGCAGCCAGAGGCAGCGTCAGAGCTGAGCCCACATCAGCTGTTTGGTTCAGCCTACACCCCTGGGAGCCACATATTTCCAGTGTGACTCACCCACCCCATTCCTGCGCACTGGAGAACACAAACAGGCATCACCCTTTCCACCACAGCGAAGGGAGTCCACACCCTCCCCCCAGCTCCCCTCCACCATCACCTGTCTTCAGCTCCTCCAGCCAGGGACCCAGGTGCAGGTCAAAGATCCGCAGCTCACGGAGCCGGGGTTCCTGCTGCAGCAGCATTCGGACCACATGCTCCCCCAGGAAGCCACAGCCACCTGTGACCAGGTATACCAGCTTCTGGGCCTGTGCCGAGTCTGCCATGTCCTGCTAGGGAGAGACCCTGGTTCACCTGAGCTGCCTGCGGTGTGCGAGCTGCCCGGCACCAGCAGCCCACCGGTTATTCCTTGAAGGGGCCTCTGGCCTAGTGGACTGGAGCAGTGACCAGGGGCCACAACTGTTCCTGGTGGGTGAGCAGCCAGGCTCCCTGCCCTCTGACCCTGCTACCTGGTTACTGAGATATGGTGAGGGCTCGCAGGAAGGACTGTGTTTGAGGTGGAGGGGAGGTTCTGGGATAAAAACAGAGTGGGGGAGGGGGGGAGGGAGAGGAGAGGAGACGGAGGTGGGCCGGGCTGGGGCTAGGGAAGGGGACCTCAGACATCAGCTCTGCCTACCTGCAGCCACAGTCCCAGGGTGCCCCAACTAGCCACCAGAGCTGGTCTTCTCTCGTTTCCGGCCAGCGATAAATGGTTGTCCCCTTCCGCTTGCTCCTCCCTCCTGGCCATTCCAGGAACAGACCAGCCCAGCCTCCACCCCTCCTCTCCTACTCTCTTGCCACAGGGCCCCCCCTGGTGGCCACTGCGCTCCACTGGCACCCGGTTCCAGCCAAGAACTTGGGGAAGGGGGTCGGGAAAGCCAAAACCTGCTGGATGGGCACTGAGGGGCTGGGGGAAGGGATGGGATAGGCAGAGTGACCTCATGCCTGCATGAAGTCAGTCCTTGCCTCACATTGGATTTCCCAGGAGGCCAGAAGCCCAGCAGCAGCTGTGGTTCTGGGAAGGGAGGCCTGACCTTGGCCAGGTCTGGCTGGCCTTGCTGGGGATTTCTAGGGGGCTGTGCCAGCCTATCAGGTGGCCCAGAGCAATGGTGGCTGTCTGCGGGTCTGGGTTCTTGCCCCATAGCCCCTCTCCCCACCCCAACTCCAGGCCACCCATTTCCCCCTCTTCACTTGCCCCACCCTGTCCTCAACCCCCATCCCACCCTACTCTCCCAAAGATACTGACCAAGCACTTTTTGTACAATAAAGTTTAATCACAATTATAAAAATGTGGCATTGGGTTTGCGCTATTAACATATGTACAATCCAGCCCAACAGGAAGGGCCCGCTCCCCCCACCATCCTGGCCTGGCCCAACCAGAGCTTACAGACACCAGGGTAGAAGGGTGACCCACAGGGTCTGGCAGGAACAGAAGATGAGGCAGGGTTCCAGGCACGGAGTCCCCAGGACTGGGAGGCACAGGGCCCCCCTCCCCAGGGGGAGAACATGGCCACTGCCCCTAGAGACCCCTAAACTGGGGAGGGGTGCACGCAGGGCACAGAAGGGAAGTCCCCATGAACACAAAGCAAGAGGGCTGTGCAGCCCCGAGAACAGGTCTATACAGGCTGGCACCCCAGGTTTCCACAGGAAACAGCTCTGGCAGCTACAAAACATTTACAGCTTCTTCTCCGCAAAGAAAAAAATTAGGGGGTGGGTGGCAGGGGTGACAGGGGAGGCAGACACTGCCTTAAGGGACTGAGGCTCCCTGGCAGGGCTCAGGGGCCCCACTCCATATTCAGAGATGGGGGCGTGTGGGCCCTCCTGAGCCCACTAAGGCTGGGGTGCTGGGAGCTCAGGGCACCAAGGGGAATAAATAGGGGTGTGGGCGCCCGTCTGCCCACCTCAGTTGAGGGAGCCCCGGCAGCTCTCGGTGCCGCACAGACACGGGATCTTGTTGTCCTCCAGCGGGAACTTGTAGTCGTAGGTGATCTCCTCGTCCACGCCGATGGGCTGCTTGGAGTAAATCACGATCTTCTTCTGGGACTCGATGGTGATCACCTTGGCATAGCAGTTGGGCTGCAGGAGGGAGCAGAGTGAGCTGTGTGCCCTCTGCTGGGACCCCACCGCCCCGCCAGGCCCCAGCGCACCGTGCAGCAGTGGTTGATGAACCTCGCCAGGTTGCCACACTTGGTAGCATCGATGATGGTGTCGTGGTCCACCCGGAACAGGTAGCTGCTGCCAATGCCCTCCTGCGCGTAGCGCTTCTCCCTCATGTCGGCCACCATCTGGCAGGATGGGGGGCGACGGTCAGGGACTGCCCTCGGAGGGTAGCCTCTGTGACTGGGGTCTGCAGCCTCTCAGCTGCCATCCTGGGGCCACAGTGACCTGTCCTGGATCTGCAGCTCTCTCTCTGGCTCCCACTAACCCAGCCTGTGGACACTCCTGACTTTGCTTCCAGGAGCCCTCCCTCTAGTGGCCAGCCTGACACCTTCACTGCCATTATCAGCCACCCAAGAGGACCCCAGGGACATGGGCACTGGCTGCTCCTGGAGTGTCTGCCTGGCCCCCCGTCTACCGTGGGGCTGTGGCACTTCCCAAGATGAGTGGTCATTTCACGGACTGAATTCTACTCATCTCTCCTCCCAGGACCCTCTCTCCAAAAGAGGCTCCCACTGGCTGCTGCTGGTTGTCCACATTAGAACCCAGATTCTTGCAGGAGAAGCAACTGCTATTTCCCAGAAAACGGGCGCTAAGACCTCCGCGCCCTTCCCTTGGATGATCTCTCCCAGGGCTTCAGCGGCTGGCGCGGTGCCGGGGATCCTCCCAGACTTCCATCTGCAGCCAAAGCCACCTCAGAGGAGCTGCTGGTGTCCTCCTCTAGAAGCTCCGATCGGAACTCATCTGAATCACACGTCTGCTCCTCCTCCTCACGCCCCACCTCACTGGCAGCCCTTCCTACTCCCAGCTGTTCAAGGCAGCGCCCTGAGAAATGGCCTCACCCGCCCCCCTTGCTCTCACTCTGCAGAGCCAACGTGTTTGCCCGTCTTGCCAGCTACCTTGGACCCACAGACCCCTGCTACCTTGGCTGCCACTGCGTAGCCCAGAACCCCACCTTTGACTGGGATCTCTGCAACAGCCCCCACTCCCACCGCACTGCTGTCTCCAGTTCTCTCTTCACACTGCAGCCAGAGGGAGCCCACAACCTCCAAGTCCTCTCCTGTTTAACACTTCACAGCAACTTTCCTCCTCTCACCATCGGTCCAAACTTATTCATGTGGCTCCTAACTTCTGGGGAGCCTGGCCTCCCCCGCCCCTCCTGCTGTATGTCCCTGCCTGACCCAAGTTTCTCCAATTAGCCACAGTGCCCTCCTTGTACCTCCCTCACCTGAGCCTGGGGAGCTCGGCATCCTCTAGGCTCCCGGTGTAAACATCACTGTGTTCCAACCACCCAGTCTCTCTGAACTTCCCCTTTGTAACAAGCAAACACCATCCTTTATTGTAGTTACTTGTTCAATGCCTGTCTTCCCCACTAAACTGAGGTCCTTAAAGGGAGAGATACTATTAGCCTTGGTTCTTGCTGCATCATTAACATCTAGTTTACTGCTTTACTAGTACCCATTACTAGAACAGAAGGAAGGGAGGGAGAGAGGAAGGGAAGGGAAGGAGGGAGGGAGGGATGGAAGGAGGCAGGGAGGGAGGGAGGGAGGAAGTGGTTTCAATGGCTAAGCCTTGGAGGCAGGAGGGTATGTGGGGCTTTGTCCAGAGGATGGGATGGGTCTCATGTCAGCATCCCAAGGTGCCAGTGGGTTGGGAGCTGGGTGTGGGACTCCTCACCTGGCGGATGTTCTGACCCACATATTCAATGACCATCTCATCAGCTGCGATGGGTTCCATGGCAAACAGACCCCACTCGTGGATCCGGCTCCGGCCGAATCGGAGCTTCTTCTTCCGGAACTAGAGGGCAGAAGGTAGACTGCTGCTGGATGCCCCCTCGACCTGTCCCCTGGCTTCCCTGCAGCTCTCCAGGGCAGGAGGGTGCTCTAGCCACTCACCCCTCCGCACCCTAGGGGACCCCATGATGCTGCCCTTCCACTGAGTCTCTCTCCTGCTGGAGCCCCCGCTCCTCACCTTGAGCTGGTTTAGCTTCAGCAGATCACTGTCCATGATGGCGGAGGTGCCAATGGCACTCAGCAGCCGCCGCTGCTCAGATCGGCGCTCCGAAAGCACACGGTTAGTCCCCTGCGAGAGGACGGAGGAGGAGTAAGTGACGGGAGCAGCAATGGGAAGAGGATGCCGGAGGGCCATGTGCCAGGGCAGGGCTCACCTGAGTGTCCGCCCCTTCCAGCTGCCGGGCTGAGACAGGGCACACGTCCCGGTACCTGTCCTTCTCCTTCTTGCTGATGGGGTAGTAGCCTTCGCTGCGGGCCGAGCCCGTCTGGTGCTCCCGGGGCCCGTCCTGGGGCCGCCGCTTGCGTCTGGGGGCGCTCAGGTTGGTGAGTGCGGGGTGAGTTAAGGAAGAGAACGGGCTCCGCACTGGCCAGGTCCCTGGGGCCCCACTCCCGTCCCTCCAGTCCCAGCCCAAGGAAAGGGTAACTGACCTTTGTTGGAGGCCCTGAGCACACTTGGTATGAGGAGGACAGAAAGATGAGAGAAATAAGTCTTAGGCCACCTTTTCTGCCAGAAAAATTCTGGGAGGCAGACAAGAGGCAGGAGGCAGAGAGAAAACACCTCAGGTGGTCAGAGGAGAAGGACTCAGGCTCGAAGGTCGGTGGCGAAAAGAAGTGGACAGGGAGGAAGAGGAGCGCAGACACTAGGCGTCTGAAGAGAACACTGCTCTGCTGAGTGCTCTCAGGAGAGCCCGCTCCACCTCTGGGACCTCTCCTCCTGTCCTGGGCAGGCAGCTTCCGGGCTCAGGATATTGGTGTGATGGACCCAGTGGGTGTCGTTCAACCAGTCAGCCCCGCTCGTCTGCTGCAGCAGCTGCTCATACATGAGCCGCAGGTAGCCCATGTCCTCCGAATCCAGGCCTGAGTTCCAAATGTCATACAGGATGGTCATCTGCTCAAACTCACTGCGGGGTTCAAAGGTGGGAGGCGGTGGGGGAGGGGGTGGCGGTGGTGGCCTCCGGCGCCGAGTGTGGGAACGGAGGCTGCGCCGCCGGACAGCCCCCTCCCCGTTGCTGCTGCTGCTGCTGCTGCTCTCAGACGACTCAGACTCCTCCTCCTCCTCCTCCTCACCCTCCTCCTGCTGCTTTGGTTCCTCTGCCTCCGCCACCACCACCTCAGGGGCCTCCAGGACCTCATCTGCTGGGGAGCTGAAGAGGGCTGCAGGGGCAGGAACTGGCTCCAGCGGCCGAGGGGACGGTATGAAGGGCTGAGGCTTGATGGCCAGGGCATAGTTGTGCTCCAGGAGGATGTGGCTGAGCAGAGGGCCCAGGCGGTCCGACTCGTCCGATGTCTCTGTGGCCTCTGAGTCATCGCCAATAGGCAAGGCAGCCAACCCACGTCGGGCTGGGGTCAGGGCCAGGTTGGCCAGCACCGCCAGGTCCACTTCTGTCCCTGGCTCAGCCTCCTCTTCCTCGGTAGAGCGGCCTCGGCCTGCAGCCCGGCTCCGACCTCCTCGGGACACCTCCTCGGGCCAACTCTTGACCAGAGATGCGTGGTCCAGGGGCAAATTGCGAATGGTCCGCTCCACGCCCCGGGGGGCTTTGCGGGAGATGGGGCCAGGAGCCTTGACCTGCTGTGGGGCAGCGGGGGAAGGTTCTGGGGCTGGCACTTCCTCCACAGCAGAGAAGGAGACGGTTTTCCGGCGTTTCTTGGGTGGGGGCAAGAGGGGGATCGGAGAGGAGGGGCGCTCGTCGGGGCAGGGAGCAGGGGCTGGGGGCCCAGCCGGGGGCTCTGGGGGAGGCTGGGGCACACTGGGGGCTGGTTCCTCAGTGGCACCTGGGGAAGGAAGCACAGGAAGGGAGAGGGTCAGCTTCTTGGCCCAACATCATGAGACTGAGATTCGTTAGGAGCTGGAGGCTGGCCAGCCTCACCGGGGGGTCCACACCCAGCTGCCCTTCAACAGGCTGCACTCGTGCTCTCCTCGGCCGCCAGCAGACACGCCTGCGCTCAGGGAACACGCTGCCTGCCTCTCACCCGCACGGCCAGGATGGGATTCTACACCTGTCACTCACACATCCCACACGCCTGAGCACCACCCGTGTCAGGGGTGGAGAACACACGGAGCAGACACTTGCACAGCACTCGGAGTTTAAGTGCAATGGACACAATGACATGAAACAATGCACAGCCCAACTGTGAAGAGTGGGGGCGGGGGGGGGGCTCTACGGCGACGAACACTGGGACTCCAGCCTTTTTACCAAGACTGGTGGTGACAGAGCTACATCCGACAGGCAGGCACACAGACCGAGGATTTTTACCAGCTGCATTTACGAGGATACAATGAGCCAGGTCTGAATTAAAGTATCCACCATTTCAACCACAAACAGTATTCTCTGTTTAGTGAGGTGAAAAAGATACAATATAAGAAGCTGAATCTTTGTGGTAAAATATTTTATAAAATTTGCCTTCGTCCCCACTTTCCCCCAAACATCACTGGGGGTTCGCCCAAGTGAGGAGGGGCCAAGAAGTGCCCCTAAAGAAGCTGAAGGTAACGCTGAGATCCAAGGATGAGGGGCAGTTAGGGAGGGGAAACATCCTTGAACAGGCCATGCTGTCTCTCCAACAACGGCCACAGGAGGAAGCACATCCTCCTCTGTTGCCCCCCCCCGTGAAGTCTGCTGCAGATCACAGGGGTCTCAACACTGCTCAATCCACAACAGCCCTCCCCTGGGGCAGTCGTCTTGCAGATCTGACCCATCAGACAATCCTCACGCTTTGCCCTCTCTTGCAGATCTGACCCATCAGACAATCCTCACGCTTTGCCCTCTCATCCAGGTTTCACCAGCCCAGCACGGCCTTTCCGACCTCTGGCCCTTTGCTTACAGGTTCCCTTGGTTTGGAATGCCTCTCCCCTTGCCTGCTGGGAAAGCTGACATGCAGCTTTGAGGCCCCGCTCAATGCCACCTCCTTTGTGAAGGTCCCCTGACTTCCTCAAACATGGGTAACACCTTCCTCTCAGAACCAGAAGATGGTGGCTCCCAATGGTCTGTCTTCTGGTTGGCTGCAACAGGTGAATAGCTCCTATCTGATGCCAAGCACTAACCCAAGTCCTTTACGTATATCAACTCATTTAATTCTCACAACAGCCCTAGGGAATGGGTGCTGTTGTTGAGCCATTTGACAGCAAAGGACACCGAGGCCGAGAGGTTAGCAACATGCCGAGGTCACACAGCTGGCAAATGCAGAGTAAGAGCTGCCCCCGGCAGGCAGAGCCGTTTGTCCTCTTCCCCGCGGCCCTACGCTGACCTGGACGCTCCGCACTGGGCTCACATCTAGCTCCACCACTCAGAGCTGAGGGCAGCCGGCACCAGGCCCGGCCCGAGCAGGCAGTTTTCACACGTGTCCAACCTGAGCAGATGCTCCCCAATCTGGCAACCTCAGCAAAGCCCTCAGCCTGCATGTCCCAAGGCTCTGGACACCGCCTGGTGTCCACTCCGAAGCTAGCAAGGCCCTGGGTGCTCGTCCCAGGTTCTCCAGGTTGAGTCCTCTCATCACTTCTCTCCAGCGTTTTGGGATAGCCTCCCCTCGGGCCCCTCCTCCTCTAGGAGCCTGGCTCTTACAGAGAAGAAAGGCCCTTCCTGGCTCCGCTTCTGCACACGTTTCCCGGGCCACGCCTTTCACTTAGGGAGAGGGCTTTGGGGGCACCTTCCTAGTTGACACAACTCCCAGAAGCCGGTTTCTACTGCATGACTGACCCTCATTAACTGATGGCTACCCGACCCAAGCCAGCCCAACCAGAAACTTCCCTGAGAGTAAGGCTCTAGCGCAGGAGTGGGTGTGTCTGTGGGGCAGAGGAAGTCCATCTGCAGAAGAATGAACCAGACTGGAAGACAGAAGAAAAGCAAGTCCTAAAGGCAGCAGGTCCGTCTGTGGGTTCCACCAGACAAACCCTGTCCCAGGCTCCTGCCATCGGACCACAGTCCTCTCATCAGTGTGTCCCTGGTAACTTGCATTTCCCTATCATTTCCTAAAAACTAAGGGATCTGCCTTCTCCTCTCCCACCCTTGCCAACTATTTCCAGAACTCTGATATCCCACCTACTTACCCAATTTCACATCTCCAGCAACCTCCTTCCTCCTCAGCTACCCTCCAGTCACACACCTGACTTTGTCACCTTCTGGAATAGCTCCACCTTGAAACTTACACTCCTTACCCTCTGACCACAATTCCCCAGGTCCTTTCAGTCTGAACCTTTTCTTGTGTTTTTTTGTTAATCCTCACCACTGAAGGTATTTTTTCCATTGCTCTTCAGAGAGTGGAAGGGAGGGTGGGGGGAGAGTGAGAGAAACATCGATTGAGAGAGACTACATCAATTGATTGCTTCCCACATGCACCCCGACCCTGAGCAAGGATCAAACCTGCAACCCAGGTACGTGCCCTTGACCAGGAATCGAACCC